TTTCCAATGCCAAGGACATTGAGGCAATTTTCACAGATACATAGCATAAATACAAACCACAATGCATAACACATAGATGGAAATAGGTAACAAAAATACATAAATATCGCTAACTACGAACATACTAAACATAAAGAACAAACATATCTAAATATAAATATTCAAAAATGCATTCCAATAAAGAACCTCCGGCAAAGAAAAATTACTTATAGTGTTGTCCCATAGGGTCTATATTTATGTATTCCATAAAACGGTTAATTTTTTAAATGACAAATAAATAAATAAATTATTTTTTTTTGCTTAAAATTAAAGAATCTATATACCTCTAAAATATCTATTTTGCCAAAGGTCCAGAGAGAAAAAAAATAAATCAAACAATTTTTTTTTCAATATAGAAATAATCAATCCCAGAGATCTAGAGGTAATTTATGCAAAATAATAATTTAAATATATATTTATAAAAAATTTTTAAAATATAGAAATATTTATTCATAGAAATCCTTTCTTCTGAAATATACAATTTCTATATATATCATCGTTAGACAAATTATTATGTCCAAAGATCTAGAGGAATTATTTTTGAAATGCACCCTTAGATATTAGCCTTCAATATAATATAATCACTTTCAGAAATCTTAGGAATAATTTTTGGAAAAACCATATTTACAATGTAGAAGGCAATTTTAAATATAGAAATACATATTTTCAGAAATGATTATTTATATATATTTTTGTAAATATAAATACCTAGACCTTCCATCGTAGTACTTTTTTTTGGATGATTAGGTTGTTGACTTCTTTTTGAGATAGCGGCCAGAAAAAATAGTTCTCGACCAAAACGACTAGTTTCTCTCATAATGCATGTTTTTGCATCCCGGGTCTACCATCATCACCCATCATCACATGTGTTGCCTGCTTCCAGCATTTTTGGCAATTGGATTCCCAATTTTGGAAACAACCATCATCCATCCATCCACCCATCCATCGAAGGGATTCCCGGAAGAAGGCCAATCCTCAGCTCCAGCAAGCAACGAGTGGATGGGGAGACAGGCAAAAAGCACATGATTCTTGTTTGCAAGTGCAACCTTCCATTGTAATTGTAAGGGGCCATCACAATTTGGACACAGTAGGAGGGTGTAACCCGATCGAACAAGCCGTGTCCAAAGCCGGTGACTTGGCTCAGTGGGACGGGCCAAGCCGCTCGCTTCACTCAGCTGTGGGGGAGAGCAGCTGAAGGCCGGGGTTCACTACTGAATCTCAAGCCAGTGACCAGGGGCCGCAACCCTCCAATGGTTTTTTATAGGCGAGTATTGAGTTTGTCCCGCCTGAATCTGCAATCTACCATTGGTGGGTTGAGTTCCCTGGACAGACTGATTTTGCAAGAAGCTTTGGTGCCAAAACCATGACTGGCCCATCCTGCAGCTGGGCTCCATATGAAGTGCCGTCAAGATTTGCAATGATTTTCATTGCACAAGAGCTTCGCATTCATATGCGGACACACTCCAAACCCTGGAAGACGATAGGGGACTCACTAAAACAAGGTTCCAAAACATTGGAAAACGATAGGGGGTTCACCTTTTTTGTTCACCTTTTTACAGCAAGTAGCCATGAGTGAAAGTTCGACGACCGACTTGGCACGTGCTTGGGAGTCAGTGCCAGAGCTACGTAGGCGTGCGCACCAACTTCAGCTTGTGTCTTGATCCTATAGTAATGAAGCACCCATATGATGCCGACTTCCAATGTACTTCAATTAGCTGCCATCCTTGATGTGTTTTAAGGTGACCTTTACCCAGGAGGATCGCATCAATCGAGATTCTTTGGTCCAAAACGAGCATGTGGTGACCTTGGCACTCACCCACCTGGGGACCAGGGTTTGTGTTCAAACCTTGGAAGTTCACATTGAAAGCTTCTATTGCCTGATGAATATCCCCATTCCTCGTGACCCGACTTTCATGGTAGCGCCTTCCTAGAGAGGCTGAGAGGACGCAAAAGGGTCCACACTAGAGGCTAGTGTGGACCCTTTGTGTCCTCTCAGCCTGTGTTGGTTCTTCTCTACAGGTTCACCTTTTTCCTGTATATGGACAAGTTCTTCAGACGTGGGACCACCCTCATAAGGTAATATGGTGAGCATTCAAGCCTGGGCTCTACGAAGGATGATTTCGGTGTACAACCTTGTGACCCGACGTCCCCATGTTCCTCGAGAAAAGGCTTTGCGCCGGATCTTGATCAATCAGGGGTTCGACATCGAGTTGGAGACGCCGCCACGGCCAGGGCCAAGGGCAGGTTCATCAGGTGGTCATGATGATGACCCAATGGATTCTTGTGAAGAGTGTGAGGAGTCAGAAGAGTTCTCTGATGATGAGAGCATTTGTCCTCATCCTATTGAGTATGTAGAGCCCAGCGGTGACTTATCATTTAAAGAAAGCTTTTCCATTGCCCTCCAACAGGTATGCGCAACAAAACCATGCATATTGCAAGACTATGCCGAGTTCGTCCTTTGGTCATCCATCCTAGGTTCCACTGGTTTTGATGACAGTCATCGCACCACTGGCGCCATCAAAACGGATGAGCCTAAGCCCGTCCTAGCCTCAAACATGCGTTTGGTGTCCAGCCCCCTCTCCACAAATTAGCCCGCCCTCTTGCCAGGAGTCATCGGTCGATTTCATCTCTGGTGACTCTGGTGGAGACAAAGCGCTTGAGGATGCCAGTGCCCAAGCCGGACCTGGTGTCACATTTGTGGACAAGTTTAATCGGAAACATTTGCGTGATGTAGCTAGCAAACGAATCAAAGAAACTTCTGTGTCTGAGATGGCTTTGAATGTGGCTTCACCTCCCTTGGTTGGCACCATCTTCAAGACTCCAAGCCCAAAAGGCCGGGCTATGTTTTGGGGGTTCAGCACTCTTGGACCAGCATTTGTGATGCAGGTTCCACACCTGCTTTCGTAACTCCACCCAAAGAAGCTGGGAAGGCGCGGTTCTTTATGATCTCAAGTCAAACGGTCCAACCTGAAACCTGCCCAATCCTGGCCTCCTTTGCCAGGCTGGCTTGGGAGTGCTGCTCATTTGGCGGCCTTGCAGGAGATGGAGCATTTGCAAAACCATATCTTGATCCTAAAAGAAATGAATCAGCTTCAGCATGATCTAAAACAGCTTACTGTGTGGAAAGCTGAACGAGACAAAAACATCGAAGTGAATGTGAAGCCTCACAATGTATGCCAACCACCTGCCATCTGTTTCATATCTGCATGTATGAATTCAGACAGATTTCGACCACCGTCACTTGCATTTGGGTGATGCATGCTATCAATCGTGCTGTGGCTGTAGTCTCCCAGGTTTGGACAACGTTGACACTCAACCGATGGAGTTCGATGGATTGACTATTCATGCGCAAACAGGCCTATTTTCAGGTTTGGCTAGGCACGTGATCAGCACACGTGCTTGTGCAGGTTCACTCGCTGCTTCTGTACCTGCTGCTATTGGTGAGGACTTTGGTGCACCCATGGGAACTTTGAAGGGTTTTATGGAAACCAAAACCGATGAGGTAGCAGCGATTCAAGGCAGCAAGTCAGCAGGTGAGCAAACCCACAACTTTGCTAGCGAGATCCTTCCAGAGCCACCAGTCCCACAAACCAAACAAGCAGAGGAGGCAGCCAAACTTGAGATCGATGAAGAACCAGAAACACCTTTCCCAGTGCCAGCAAGTTGCCCTCAACCTGTTCCAGACGATGATGACCAGGAACTGCCCACACCACCGCTTCAAGAGCCTGACAAAAAGGACAAGCAAGGCTGTGAGGTTGGGGAAGACCGCAAAGAGGAAACCAAGATCCCCAGTGACTTGATTGAAAGCAGCCCCGAATCCAGTGGAGCAAATTTTTCACCAACGCCAGAGAATCCCAAACAACATGATGATCCACCACGTGTTCGTATGAAGAAGTTTTTGGATGAGAAGAAACAGGCAAGGCTTGCTGTCGAGAAGGTTGCAACTGAGGAAACAAGCGAGGCACCTGCGACCCTGAGTTTGCCACCCAAACCAGCTGATTGGGGAAAGCATGCGGCTGTTAGTGCTGAGCAACAACAACCACCAAAGCCACGCGGCCGAAGAAAGAAGGCTGACAAGGCAGCCACCACAGATGCGAATGAAGCAGCGCCAAAAGCAAAGGCCAAGTCGAAGGTCAAGTCGAAAAAGAAATCCAAACAGCAAGATTATGAGCCTTTGGAGGTGGAAGGGGACATCAACACCGACAAAGGAGCAGCCTTTGACGCCTATGCTGCAGCTTGTGCAGCTGCAGATGTTTATGCCTTGAAGCAATAAGACTTAGAGGTCACTGGCAAAACACGTGAGGAAAGGGATAGCAAGGAGCCAGCTGAGCCCAGCAACGCACGTCAGAGACCACGTGGCTGCAGCAAGGCATCTGACAAAGGCTCCAAGAGGAAGAACAGGAGTGAAGGAGATGGCGCAACCAACACCAGGAGTAAGAAGAGCAACAAGCCAGACAAAGCAGCTAGGAAGCGATCCAAGGAGGAGGAGCCTGAAGCAAAGGAGAACAACACCAGGAGGAAGAAGGGCAAAGCAGCTGGGAAAGGATCCAAGGAGGAGCCTGAAGCAAAGGAGACAGTAGCCAAGGAGCAGGAGGAGCATGAAGACGCCAGCGCAAGCAAGGCAACCACGAGGAAAAGAAAACAGCAGCATAATTCAGATAGCAAAGCTAAGTACTCCCGTAAGAGCTGTGCCTACAAAAAGGTGCTGAACCAGAAACTCAAAGAAGGCTTGAGTGAGGAGGAAGCAAGGGAGGCAGCCCGAGCAGCCCCCAAACTATATTTAGCAAAGCTTTTGTTTAGATATCAAAAAACACCGTGCCATGCTGCATCTGTGTTGAAAGTGTGTGCATGCATGAAACGCTTTCTCTTCAAGTATCATATGGTTGCGCTTATATGGTGCCCAGGCTTATGCAGAATGTGACTGATGAGCCCGTCCTGACTCGTGATTGAACCATGTGAGGGCGCGATCAAAACTTAAGTGCTTCCCCCCAACTGGCAAGAAGTGATATATGAATGTTCACCACATTGATCATGGTTTTGCTGCTAGTGTTATGTTTTGCATTTCGATTTGCGGAGCCCAGCGATGTTTGTTTAGGGGTCCGCCTGTGCGTGTTTTCAACGCGTACCAATATTGCAGCATGCACGGACATTTCTTGGCACCTCGGTGCTGACATATCTCAGAGTGACAATTCAGAATTGCCAACTCTTTCTTGGGGTCAGCCTCAAAACTTATAGTCAATTGTGAAATCACGATTGCGCTTGAGGCATCAAATCTTGAGCTGGTGTCCAAAAAAATACACGCGGCTCCACGTTTGGCTGTGATGTAGTATGCTTGGGTTTTGGGAGAGCTACTTGGGCTTCATGATCTTCACTTGGGAACCACCTAGATGGGTCAAGGGCCCAAAGAATGAAAGGACCCGTAAGGGTGCTTACAGGTCCTTTCATTCTTGTGGCCTCTTTGTCTCTTGCCCTGTGGACAGGTTCGATGGCAGAGCGATGGATGGCGAGAACAGCGTCCAAGGGTCATGCCTGCTCTTATTATCGTTTACGCGCGAGCGACTGTGAACCTTCACGCAGTCCTGGTGCATGTGGTGAGTTTCACAACCTGATCTGGCCACCATGCAGCATTCGTGGGCTCGTTGAAGTATCCGCTTCCTGTTATCTAGCTGTCATGCCTGCTGGCCGCTTTAACTCTTTGGTGGCCAATTTGGCCATGACCAAGTGCCCTAAGGCTGGAACAAGCGATATGTTCGAGAGATACTTTATTGAATGCGGGCTAGAATCATGTCCCAATATGCCCCAGATGGGAGATCTACATGTTTGTTTTTGTGCATGGATGGATTATCTACAGCTCTGGAGGCATTCATTGCCGTGATCTTGCTCATTCTCTGGAGCTCGGATGTGTATCCCAAATATCATCTGGTCGAGCTTTTCTCGGGGGCTGGCAAAGTTGGTGAGGTATGGAGGCTGATATGTGCAGACCATCTTGAACGCAGTAAGTCATTCATTCACGTTAATACCGTGTCAGGGAGAATGGGTTCAATGTGGGGCAGTATGACTGGGACTATGATGCCCAAGGCATGAACTTCCTTTCCCATGGAGGATTTGCGTATTTGTCTTAGCTCTCAAACTAAACACAAAAGGCAAGAGTGTGCTGATGGCAACCCAATTCATTGTGTTTCTTCTAGCAGGGATGTTGCCGCTGCCCAGGACTGCCATCTTGATGGTGGCCTCCTTGGTTCCCTTCGGCCTCTTGTTGTTTGGCCCAGACTGCAGCAGCTGGACCATGATCTCCAGGGGAAGCTCCTGGAGGTCGGTGGTGAATCCTCGTGGTAGGGAGTCACTAGAGTGGATCCAGGGTGCAGACTTGATGATATCCAGGTGATTCGGTTGCAAGCCGTGTGATTCTCAAAGCAAAGGTCACAAAAAGGTTCTATAGCTTAGAAAAAATGCACCTCTCCCAGGTGTGTTCTTCTACTTCATCTATGCTTAGCTGTTTCTGGCAGCTACGTGATGGAGCAGCCAAGGGGGAGTGACCATGTTCTCCCCCGCCACCGCAGAATGGAAGAATTCTCAAACACGATTTCGTATGTACCTTGAATAATCTTAAGGAATCCACTTGGTGCAATCTGAAGCTTATATTCAGATTTCTCGTGTAATTAGGACAGCCCAGGTCTTCAAAGGCTTTTTTTGGATGATGCACCATGGCGGAGCCACTCCCAAGCCAACGGTTTGCTGGAGCAATTGTGAAGAGATACTGTTGGCATTGGACATGGTTTTAGCAACATCAACTATATATGTGCAGAACTAGTCATATCTTAAAGTTTGACTGTCCTTATGGGTCTTGTTTTTGGTGTGCGTCTCCCTGGATCTTCAGGACCATGGAGTTTTGCCCCGTGCAGTACAAAAAAGAAGCGAGGTAGCCACTACCCGTAGCTGCCTGAGGTTTTCGTACGCCCCCGAAATATATCATGGTGTCCTTTCCCTTCAGCCAAGGCAAGTACAGGTGCAAGAAGGATGGTAAGATGAAGTTTCAGGGCACGGAAGCCTTGCGATCTACTCAGTCCATGCCCCAATGAAATACAAGGTTTAAAGACATTTACTTGTTTGGCCAATTTCCTCGAGCTATTGGCGCCCAGGCAGTATCCTCGAGGTCTTGGAGCATGTCTTCTCTCAGCCTGGGAGTCGGTGTGGGGGCAGCTAAAGCTAGATTTCAGGCAGAAAAGGGATCTTGATCCAAGGAAGACTGATTTAGAAATCTTTGAGGATCTACAGGATGCTGACCCTTGGGTGGACGCTAGGATCCCAAGCTTGTTCATCTATCTCTATTCCAACAAGAACCTGGCGATTCCAAGTGAGTGGAAACCTACCATGGACGCTATGCGCTCTGAAATGGAAAAGTACGTGGCTGGGCACCGTTTACACTTTCAATATGGTGTGCACAGGCATGTCCATGGTAAAGTAATATATATATATATTTAGCCTTGCTACTCAGGTGCTCACGGAGAAGGACCTAGTGTCTGTCGCTTAATTCTAGCGACCGGTCTGTGCAGGTAGCATTGTAATGTCAGCTGAGAGGCTCACTGGCTCA